AAACGGCAGCCACCATCAGCCCTGCTGCTTGGCTAAAGCTGATTTAATGCACATGGAGACAATGCTGACACGGGAATGGGGTGGGGGGGGTGCAGGGGGCACCGTCCACACAGAACCAGCGTGGGCTTGGTGGCAGTGTTTGTTTGGGTGACCCTGCATGCAGGGGACATAAGTAGGGTGGGGGGGAGTGTTTCAGATATGGGGACAGCATGGAGTGGAGAGTTGCTGTCTGCAGCAGCAACCGGGAGGGATGAGGAGAGCGATGGGGATGTTACTCCAGCCAGGAGCCTTGGGTTGGTGCTGTGGATGTGACCATGGACCTGGAGCTGGCTGGAGAGCTGCACACCCTGCAGAAATACACGCTGGGAAAAGCACCTTATCCAAGTAATGAGCAGCATCTTCCCATCAGAATTAAGTCTTCTGAAATGCTAAAACACTGTGTTGCCATTGCTGGGATGTCCACAGCAGTACTGAGGGACACGGGGCTCCTTTTGCCAGCAGCAGGACCAGTGCTATGTCCAGGCCATCACTGTCCACCCTGGCACATCCATGTGAGCAAGAGATGGATGAAAGAAACTTAATTTCACTTAAAGTTTCTCTGGCGTGTGTGCTTTCCTGGCAAGTTTGGGGTTGCTGCCACAGTGCAGCCTGGGAGGCTCTGCTCCCTTAGACGTTTTGCCACACAAGGAATAATGCAGAGAGCAGAAACTGCCCCCTCAGATGTTGCCTTGTAGAGTTTGAGTTTGGCAGAAGATTCTTGGTTTCATTTTAGCTTCAATTCCTGAGAAACCCTCAAGTGGTTGCTGAACGGCTGGGTAAAAAAGAGCATTAAAGAGCCAGGGTGGACAACTTCATCAGAGCTTTCTGGGATGGATGGAGGTGTTGGGGTGGGTCAGATGGACGGAGACACTCAGGTGGGTAGGATGGACAGAGGCATTGGGGTGGAGAGGACGGGTGGACAGGACAGGTGGATGCAGCAGGGAGGGCACGTGGTCGGCAGTGCTGCACAGAGCACTGCTTTCTCCTCACCGGCTGCTGGGGGCTTTGCCCCAAGCAAGGCCAAGGTGGGGAGCACCCGTCCCACAGCGAAGGTGTTGGCTGGGCCCTGGCCTTCCCAGGGAGGTGACTGCCAGCAGGAGATAGGGAGTAGCCACGGCGATGAGGGGGGGTCCAGGTCCCTGGGATGGGCACGGGGGCTGCCCCGAGTGGGGCTGACCTCTGTGCCTCCCTGGAGTCACTCCCAAGGCCATTTCTGTGCCCGGAGAGATGTCTGCAGAAGACGCTGCTGGGACACATGGCAACCCAGAGCCTGGTGGGGCTGGGCACCTTACTGGCACTGACACAGCCCAGGGAGGGGGATGTGGTGGGGCTGTCCCCCACCCTTTACCAGAAAGCCAACCGTATCCTGGGCTGCATTAAAAGAAGCATGGCCAGCAGGTCAAGGGAGACCCCACCGGCAGTACTGCCTCCAGCTCTGGGGTCCCCAGTACAAGACAGACATGGAGCTGCTGGAGCAAGTCCAGAGGAGGCCACGAAGATGATCAGAGGGCTGGAGCACCTCTGCTATGGAGACAAGCTGAAACAGTGGAGGTTGTTCAGCCTGGAGAAGAGGCGGCTCTGGGGAGTCCTTAGAGCACCTTCCAGTACTTAAAGGAGGTTTATAAGAAAGATGAGGACAGACTTTTTAGTAGGGCCTGTAGCGATAGGACAAGGGGTAAGAGTTTTAAACTGAAAGAAGGTGGATTCAGACTAGATACAAGGCAGAAATTTTCTATGATGAGGGTGGTGAAACACTGGCACAGGTTGCCCAGTGGGGTTGCCCCAGTGGGATGCCCCATCCCTGGAAACATTCAAGGTCAGGTTGGATGGGGCTCTGAGCAACCTGATCAAGTTGCAGCTGTCCCTGCTCATTGTGTGTGTATGGGGGGGGGTGGTTGGAACTAGATGACCTTTAAAGGTCCCTTCCAACCCAAACCATCGTATGATTCTGTGTCCCCAGAAGGTGCCTGCAGGGATATGTGGTAACCCAAAGCCTGGTGGGGCCAGGCGCCCCGCTGGCACCGACACAACCCGGGGAGGGGGATGTGGTGTGGCCGCCCCTCACTTTGCAAGAGACTAGCGAGGGGACATCTCCCCCAGAATGGCACACAGCGTGGCTGGGTGCTCCCACCCCCCATCCCCAGGGTGGCTCCTGGCAGCTCTGATAGGGTGACCGCAGCCGAGCACTGGTGCTCGTGTCATAGCCGTGGCCGTGAGCCACTCTGTGTGCAGGGCCGCGGGGAACTTCCCCAGGGCTGTGCCGGGGCTGGGGACAGGACATGTGGCGCAGTGGCCAGGCTGCCTGGCACAGGGTGCTGCATGTGCACAACTGGAGGCTACACCAGCACCCCTATGCTGGGGGACATGGGGGTGACTGAGGAAATGGGGACAGAGCCAGGGCCAGCCGGCAAAGGGACACATCTGGCCATGGCCTCACCACAAGCCACGTGTCTTTGCAAGGGACCTGGCACCCAGAGGCCAGCGGGCAAGGGACGAGGACAGCACAACCAGGGCCACGTGCTTGCTGCTGGCGTGGGCGTTTAGATTGGGCTGCTGCCCCATCCCCTGGTCTTGGCAGTACTGGGGGGTTCATCAGGGTCCCCTGGGTGAGCAAGCACTGCAAGGAGCCCCAGCAATATAAGTGTGTGTGTGCGCGTGTGTGCGCGCGTGTGTTCCCATCCCACCCTCCTCCATAGCGGTGCCACTGGGGCGATGCCAACCGGCGCAGAGAGGAGCAGGCGCGTTGGAAGGACACAGAGACAGGGATGCTGAGCCAGCGCTAGTTCAGTGTCGGTGTTTATTCATGTGACACTCAGGGTGGGGGGACAGGAGCAGGGAACAGGGGGACATGGGGAGAGACATCCGCGGTGGGGTGGAGCCGTTTCTGTCCCCAGCAGCGGGGAAGAGAGAGGGGGCCGTCGAGGGGCCGCCGGGCACGGGGAGGTCCGGGCAGGGTTAGCACGTGGATCTGGTGAGGGACTTCTGCACGGCGCCAGCCTCGTGCGTGACCTTGCAGACATAGTTATCATACTTCTTCCAGTCAGAGGCACTCAGCGTCAGGTAGCTGCTGGCCATGTACTTGTTGTTGCTCTGCCGCTGGGGCTGGCTGGTCGCGACGCCGCTGCTGAGGGTATTGCCATCAGCCGTCCAGGTCACCTGCACGGCGCCAGGGTAGAAGTCTCCCAGCAGACACACCAGGGTGGCTTTGCTCTGTGTCGAGAGCTCCTCCTCGGATGGCGGGAAGAGGTGGATGGTGGGGGCACTCTTGGGCTGGCCTGCAAGGGCGAGAGAGAACGGTGTGGGGTCGGGGGGGGCGGGCTG